AAATAATCACAGGTTGATATTAATTCAGATTAAACCATAAAATAGGCGGTGACAATTTTGTAAATTAATGGAACTTTGGGATTAGATCAAGACACTGAAGGGCATGAATGGAATTTTCCATTCTTTTTCGTTCAACACACAAAAACACCCGGTACGAATACTAAAACCCATTTGATCCAAATCTCGATCATCATTCTGCTTCCAAATCTCAATCATTGTTTCAGACTCCTTATTCTCATTATATCTGAAATTCATCTTCCGATTCTTACAAGAAAACCACTCGATAATTAACTAGAACATTAAAAACCTTTTGATTTTGAATTTGATATCGAATCAAACGGCTCATTCTACAGATTCTGATTCTGATTTTGTATCAACAGATGTTCCAAGTAAGTATAATACTATAAACCTCTTGTTCTTCCTCAATAAACCTATATGTTCTTATTATAGAAAGTTTTTTCACTTTAAATCATTGTGTGTCTTCAATAAATGTCTAATAATCGAGATAGTTCACTAGCGATTTATATGTTGAATTCAGGATGTAATGGAATATAGCATTATAAAGCATACAATCTAAACCTAAATCTCAGTCTGTGATTTATATAGAGTCTATGTATCTAAATGTTAACTCTAAAGAGTGTTCTAATTATTCCCCATTTCATTTGATCTAAATATTCTTAATCAAAATCAGCAAAGATGTTATGTTATTATAACTAATTGTTCATCAATTAATTAGATTTAGATCCATAAATTGTCTAATACTATAGATTTTAGTAACACAAATCTCTTATTATGATTCTAGTATAGTGTTTAGCCAAAAAAATTCTTTGTATTCTAGTGAATTTTATGTTGATTAATAAATAGAAATTTGTTGTTATGTATTTATACAACTGTGACCAGATTATATATCATAAACTAATATGAATTCTAATGGAATATGTTGTTATTGATGCAGCTAAAAATGTGCAAACAAATGCAACTGTAAGAAAAACAGGGAAAGAAATTTATATCGATATAGGTATAAATTGTGATTACTTTTAGATTACATATTATAATTGCTTTTAGTAACCTCTAAAAGCTTTTAATAAATATTCTAATTGTTTTTATTTGATAATTTTCTTGATACAGATTCATCGAGTCAAGATAGGGTTAAAATAAGGTATGAACACACTTTCTTTCAAATAATTCATAAAAAAAAAAAAAATGTTTGGATTTATTTTTCTAAGTTAGTTATTCTGAATATTCTAATTTTGTTTTATCATATATTCTAATTGATTTTAATTGTTAAATTTCATGATAAAAGATTTGCAAATTCTAATTCAAAAAAAAAAAAGTAGATCATATGTTGATTGATAAATAGAAAACTGTTATGTATTTATAGAACTATGACCAGATTATATATCATAAATTAATATGAATTCTAATGGAATTTGTTGTTATTGATGCAGCTAAAAGAGTGCAAACAAATAGAACTGTAAGAAAAACAAGGAAAGAAATTTATATCGATATAGGTATAAATTGTGATTACTTTTAGATTAAATATTATAATTGCTTTTATTAACCTCTAAATGCTTTTAATAAATATTCTAATCGTTTTTATTTGGTAATTTTCTTTATACAGATTCAGCGAGTCAAGATAATGTTAAAAAATGTATGAACACACTTTCTTTCAAATAATTCATAAAAAAAAAGCAAATGTTTGGATTTATTTTTTTAAGTTATTTATTATGAATATTCTAATTTTGTTTACCATATATTCTAATTGATTTTAATTGTTAAATTTCATGATAAAGATTTGCGAATTGTAAATCAAAAGAAAAAGAAGGCAAATGAAGGAAAATCAAAGAAAAAAAATTAAAAAAAAAAACGTTGTTACTTCTGAAAGCGATTCTGATTCTTCTTCTGATTCATCCTCACAGCGTAGAAAAAGAATTAAAAAAGGTATCAACAATCATTCTTTAAAACACTTAACAAAATAAATTTTTTGGATTTATTTTTTTCGGTTGATTATTATGAACATTCAAATTGATTAAAATAAATATTCTAATTTATTTCAATTTTTAAATTTCTTCATACAGCTAAAAATACAAAAAAAGAAGAAAAGACTTGAAAAGAAAAAAAAAAGACACTATGTTTCAGATTCTTCATCTTCACAGTCAGAGATATCAGAGTCAGAGAAGAAATGTAATTCTTAAAAAAAAAATAACAGTATTCTTAAACAGTGAGTGTGATCATTTCTTTAATTCTTCATCTTCCTGTCATCTTTGACCGTGGGTGGTTTAGGATCGATTACATAACACGAAGAGTCGATGATGGAGATGATGAAGGTGGTGGTCGGCAGCCAAGATGATGATGATTGTGGATGATGGTTTTTAGAGAAAAATGTATACATCCCGCCGCCCTCATCCTTTAGTCTTAGAAGACCTCATGCCACCACTATCTTTTCTCAAAAATTGGAGAGACCATCAAATCCAAAATTGAGAAGGTATTTGATAGGAGATCCGTGACTAGTGATCTAATCTCAGATGAACGTATAGTAAAAGCTTTTAGTATATGGACTCCCGCATTTACACCTGAAAATCATCCTGTAGTCGTCGAGGTTAGGAAATCGTACATTAAGACTCATTATAAAGAGTATTATAATTTCAGTTGGATAAACATTAAACATCACGACTTTGTAAAAACTAGTTTGCTTTTCACCAACAGGTCCTATTAGAAAGCACTGAAGACAAAGATATAACAATGCATTCATTGTCGAATCTTATCTACGTTTCACGAGAGAAGAATAAGTCTATGCATCATAATTTTAAGGGATGCGATGCAACAATTGAACCTCCATCGTATCTTCTCAGAACTTGGAGAGGTGAAGGAAAAGGTCGTTTCCCCACCATATAATCCTTCACATATGGTGAAGAGCTAAACTCTACTCATCCTGGTAACAAGGTTCCTCCAAATCTATTTAGGTTTAATATTCAATCAGATCGAAAGTGCTTGGTATTCTTTTCTTAAATAAGAAATTAATCTTGTCAAGTGCTTGATATTCTTTACTATTTGTGTCAAGCTCTTTGCTTCCAAGTACCACTCGGAATGTAGCAAAGTTGAACAACAATGGTGGATAGAAATTAAGAGACAATTTCATGACAATTGAGATTCACCACACCAAAATATCAAAATATAACAACATGAAACAAGAATGAGAATGAAGATTTTTATATGAATGATATTGTATTCTTATAGAATGATTTTTTTTTCAATAATGACTCACTATAAAGCTTGTATTCTAATAGAATGTGGAAAAATTCAAAAAATAACATTGTATATTTATAAAATGTGACAGTAAAAATTGTTTTTTTGTTTATTTTTTGATCTTAGATTCTTCAATAATGTTGATAATTGATATTCTTCTTTAAGAATGTTCTAATTCTTCAACTCATGGTTCAAAATTTTGTTATTCTTCAAATTGTTCATTCAATTAGAATATGTATTCCATCAAAAATTTTATTCAATCAGAATATGTATTCTATTATAATATGTATTTTAAACTCTTAGTCCACATTCATCCTACATCCACACAATACTTATCATCCACATTATAACCTAGCTATATATATATATATATATATATATATATATATATATATATATATATATATATGTGTGTGTGTGTGTGTGTGTGTGTGTGCGTGCGTGTGTGTGTGTGTGTGTGGAATTTAGAACATCGAAATGCACAAATTAAGAGGTTATAAATGGAATGTATTTTAGTCGTAAATGAAAAGGATTCAGTCAGATAATATGACGTGATTAGTGTATATCCTTGATAATATCCATATACATACGTGTTTCCATCCCACTATAAAAAAATTCACAAACACTTTTATCTTGACAAAAGCCTCGACATATATATATACATATATATAATATATATATATATATATATATATATATATATATATATATATATATATATATATAATATATATATACTAATTGTGAAACTCGTATATTATACGGGTTTATTTAAACATAATATTATATATATATATATATATATATATATATATATATATATATATATATATATATATATATATATATATATATTAGTTGTGAAACCCGTATATTATACGATTTAATTTAAACATAATGTTAAATAGGAGCGATTAAATGAGAAGTTTATTTGAATTTGAAATATGAAATAAGTGAAAATTATGAAAAAAAAACATGCAAAAAATAAATTAATTAAAATTATGTGTTTAATTGTTAGACTCGTGTACTAAACGAGTTATCATAATAAAATGTTAAATACAAAGGTTTAAAGTGTAAATTTATTTGAAATTTAAATTGGAATTTTAAATTTCAAATTTAAAATTAATAGTTATTATAGTAGGTTTAATTTATGGAAACTAAATTAATGATATATTGGAAATGAATAATGAAGTAATTGACAAGTGGAATTATATATATATATATATATATATATATATATGTATATATATATATATATATATATATATATATATATATATATATATATATATAGGTAGAGGTTCATTTGAGGTCACCTATATTTTGTGAGATATGAGAACCAAATCTTAGCCTTTGATCAAATTTGATCTTGTGGCTCATAAAAAAAGGATTAACACTAGTTAATCTAGCTGATTAGTTAATTAGAGGTAGATTAGTCACCAGGTTAAATTTAAGATGATCAGGTTAGCTTAATTTTCACGTCATCCAGAAATCATCTCACCTGTTCCGGTTTTCTACCAATTTATTCAATGAAACAACATTCCTTGTTCTTTAATTCAATTTGATCGATATTCTATCTCCAATATTATATTCTTTCAACCGATAATCGATTTGATTTGGACATTGATCGAACGATGCTAAATCATAGCTTTTAAATCACGATTTTTGTGTTTTTCGAGTTCATGTTCTTGATTCTTCTACATCTACAATTGATAAGTTGAGTGATTTTGGTCAATTTTAACTTTGTGATCATCGATTTCAGTAGAGGTTCAAGTGTTCAATGATTTCTGCTAATCTTCATCTTCAACAATTGTTTACGATCTTTCAAGCTGTGAATTTTACTCAACATCATAAAATCGTCAATTGATCAAGGTTTGAGTTTTCATCGATTTCACTGTTAGTTGCATATAACGTATTCAATTTTTAACCTAGTTCATGAACTGAATCATCAAGGTATTATCAATTTCTCCAATTTTATATTTGTATGATTTGTGATTTTAGCAATCAAACATCATCTGTTGTTGAGACATCCAATTCAACAATCAAGGATCATTTTTTGTTGAATTTGTTTGAGCTAGAAAACAATTTAATCTATAATATGTTATTTGACAATGCATCATCTATTTCATTGTTTGTTTTTTAACTTTCATTCAGTCATTATGTTTTTCAGCAATATGTCATTTGTTTTCTTTTGATTAAGATCATCTATTTGCTTTTCATTAACATCATCTTAGTGATAAGTTCATGAGACTGCATGTTATTCTTATAGAATATTGTACATACATTGATATATCAATAATGATAATAGTTATGGATGATTTGGATATGCATGACATCGAAAATAATCATCTCGATGAAGAAAATCATCAGTTCAATTCTAATGATTCAAAGATTCTTCATAATGAGGAAAATCAATCGGAAACACAAGGTAATCATTGCTTTCATTGTTAGTTGCATATAACATATTCAATTTTTAATGTAGTAATAGTTATGTATGATTTAGATATGAATGACATCGGAAATGATCATTACGATGAAGAAAATCATCAATTCAGCTTTGGTGATTCAGAGATTCTGCATAATGATGGAAATCAATCGGAAATCCAAGGTAATTCTGTTACTGATATCGGTTATTCTTTATAGAATGATGTTGGTGATAAGTTCATGTTACTGCATATTATGCTTATAGAATAATGCACATATAACATTGTGGTTTTTTATGATTACAGTCATATGAATGCAAATTATTCTGATAATATGTTAACATGGTGGTATATTCTTTTTTGTAGTTCAAAGTGACAATCTTGCAGCACAATATGGCTCTTGCAAACAATTCATTGGAGCTGATGGTTCTTTATTTTGGATTCCAGAGGTTGAAGCTAGTTGGATACCTACTGTGGGTTCAATTTTTAAAGATATCAAAGATGCTATTAAGTGGTATAAATGATATGCATTAAGATCTGGTTTTGATATTAGAAAATCAACAGAGAGGAAAAAGAGTGGAATCACAACTTCGAAATATTTTATATGCAATAGAGGGTGATTGCCAGACACTTCTACCTTAGACACAATTAGTGATGATCATAACAAGCAATTGAGAAATAGTAATTGTAAATGTACAAATTGCAAAGCTTTGTTGCATTTAAAGTTATACCACATTCTTCAGAAGTTTACATGTGGCGCTTTGAACAACAACGCAACCACAAATTGATCAATCAAGATTGTATGCATCTTTCAAGAGCTAAACGTCAGTTGGATGTTGTTGATCAATCTTTTATACATAAGTTATCGAGTGCAAAGGTGGGGGCAACTACAACATATAGGCTAATGTGTGTTATAAAAGGAGGATGTGAATTTGTTGATGGACTAGAGATAGAATGGAAAATTTTTACAAGGGATATAAATTGTCACATCGGGGGCACTAATGCAAATTTGTTGATTACAAAGCTTCATAATCGTAAAGAAAATGTTACAAATTTTACATACGAATACAGATGTGACAAGAAGTAGTTAAATGCTCTCTTTTGGGCTGATGACACTTCAAAAAAAAAAACTTTGAGTTATTTGGGGAACTTGTTTTGTTTGACGCAACATATCGTACAAACATGTATTTATTCTAGAATTATAAACATTTTTAGTTATATATTCTAATGGTATTTTTTGTGTTTTTTAGGTATTGTATGGTATTTGTACCTTTTACTAGCATTGATAATCACAAAAGGTGCGTCACTTTTGGAGCTGGTTTGTTGTGTAGAGAAGATACGAATTCCTATATTTGGTTACGTCGGTCATTCTTGAAGTGTTTTGTAAAAGCACCAATCATGGTCGTGACCGATCAAGATCCAGTAATGAAAAAAGCTATTGAGATAGTATTGCCATACAAAAAACATAGATTTTGTATGTGACATATCACAAGTAAACTTCCATTGAAGGTACTAACATTATTGTTATATTCTTATAAGTATAAATATGACATTATTTTCAATATAAATATGACATTATTGTTTTTTTCTTATCAGAATATTAAATGGCATATTTTTTGTAATTAGAATAATATATTAAATGAAACGCCTTTTTATAGTGTATTATATTCTTATTCAGAATATTAAATGAAATATTTTTTGTAATTAGGATAATAGATTAAAAGAAATGCCTTTTTATACTATATTATATTCTAACAGAATAATATATGAATTGTTTTTGAAGGTAAGCTGGGAAACAATGAATGAATCGGATTTTAAGGCGGACTTCAATAGTATAGTATGGGACTCCAAAATTGTTGTGAATGATTTTGAAATGAGATGGGATGCATTAATGGTAAAATATAAGTTGCAAGACAATAAATGGATGAAAGATATGTTTGATTTGAGAAGCAGTTGGATTCCATCCTATTTTAAAGATGTACCGATGCCAGGTCTAATGAGAACAACTTCTCGGTCAGAAAGTGAGAATTCAACATTCAATAGGGTATCACATCATGGTTATACGTTAAACAATTTCATGAATGCTTTTGAGTCTGTTATGGAAAGGCAAAGGAATAATCAGATCAAATTTGATTTTGATACATCTACTATAATTCCAATCATCAAAACACCTCTTGAAGATATGGAGAAACATGCATCTATGGTATACACCAGGACTATTTTTCTCATGGTGCAGAGGGAGATTCTTCATTCACTTGTTTCTTGTTCACAGAAGAGTGTTACTTCAGGCGTTGTTTCTGACATATGCATTGTCAAACATAAAAGGACAAATATATCAAAGAAGAAAGTAGTAGTTGAGAAAAAAGAAAAAGTTGACATCGATTCTGAATGGAATTGTAACACAAGTGAAGGTGATTTTGAGGTAATGTTGACATTTTAAAATATACTTAATGTTATAATAATTTTGAAAAAATATTCTAATTTTTCTTTTTTGAATATACTTATTATCCTAATACTTTTGAAACAGGTTGAATTCAACAGAGAAGATCTAACGGTGAAATGTTCATGCATGCTTTTTGAGCGGTTTGGAATTTTTTGTAGACACATCTTCTGTATTCTAAAGATTTATGACATACAAAAGATTCCGTCAAGATACATTCTTAAGAGATGGAGAAGAGATATTATCCCCACCACAGTTTTGAAAAAGACGTTTAGATATGGTGATTCGTCTGGAAATGTTGAGAAGGTTGCATACAAAGCTTTTTCCATGCTTGATCAATGCTTGTCTTCATTAAGTAATGATGATAAGAAGTTAGAAGAGTTCATGCAGAAGCTAGAAGTTTTTATGAGTGATATTGGTGAACAAGGTTCAGACAGATTACCGATTACAAAAGAAGCTCATATTGATAAACTTTACGGAGCTACTACGAATCCTGAAGTTGTTGATGTTGAAAATCCACCTATGGTGAAGAATAAAGGTTCTGGTATAGGAAAACGTTTAAAAAGTGCATTGGAGAAGGCTACTATTCAAGGTAACAAGCAATCAAGATCATGCAAAACATGTGGGGTTAAAGGGCATAATTCAAGGAAATGTTTGACATTGTTGAATAACTCCAAGGTACAAAGTGCATAGTTGTGTCTAGAAATATATTTCGATTTTTTTCGTATTTCAATAAAGTTCAATAATACCATATAGATAAAAGTTTGAATTTTTTAGTTTGGACTTTTTTTAGTTGTTTTGGTTTGTGATGATGTATGAGACATTTGGTTTGTGATGATGTATGAGACATTTGGTTTGTGATGATGTGTTATACATTTGAGAACATATTGATTCTTCTAATATTTTCAATCTTTAATTTTTTGAAGTATATACGAATGATTGCAGTATAATGCTTTGTTATCAAAATATTATAATACAAGATTATGCATGTAAGAATATTATATAGGTATATGCAACATCTAATATTATTTTAATAAAATATTAATGCCATTATACATTATTCTATTAGAATATTCTACCATGGTCATTAAGAAGTGATCATAATACCTACTATACATTAAGCATTAATCACCTAATAAACCATATCAAGTTTCTTACATAATACTAGGCATCATTTTTTTTTTGTCTAATTTGTTCAAAATAATATAGATATTAGAAAAGGAATTGCTGTTAAGTCACCATAACCACATTTATAAAATTCCAAACTTCTATCAAATTCTATTTACTACCCATTTCCAATTCATCCATTCTATTAATACCTTCCTCTAATATCTTTTTTCTAGTCGCATGATCAAAATTTCCAAATTCGACTGCCTCTTTGATAACTCTCTCCTTGTGGTTGTTGATTTCATGTGTAGCAATCTTAACAGAATATAAGGCACGTAAGTTTACAAATTGTACATCTTGCACATCACTGCCTTTTTCCATTTCCACATTCCACTTTCCTTGCTTTTCTCCACAATATTTTTCAATATGGCTCATTAAAAGTGCTCCATTCTCTGTTGTCAACTTCTTTGTGTTCCAGTAAATTTTCACCATCTTCATTGCTGTTGATCGCAAACCTTTGATTTTATTGACGATAAATGTAGCTTTCTCCGGATATCGTATAAAGTACAATTTCTGCAATGTATATTAACAAAATTACATTATTCAGTCTATTATATTGTAACTTTAATACATTTAATAAAAGTAAATGAAAACTTACTAATGATGTAGGTGTCATTCCATAAGTTTCTTCTAACGATTTTGTTTGTATGCTGTGTATAATATGAACTTATGGATGTGTTAGGTTGAAAAAACAACATACATCTGATCACCATTATGTATTGGCAAAACCACCTGCAATTCCAACAAATTGATCAAAAAGTTAACATAATCCCTATCCTTTAATAATGTAATATTTTAATTAATAAAATATTCTTACGAGCTTAAGATCATTGAAATCTACATTTGCCTTGAAATTAGATTGAAACTTATCAACACGAGTCTCAAAAGTTAAAAAACGCTCGTCAAAAGATCTAGTTTCATCTAACAACTCAGAACTCTGTAAACATAGAAAAACAGAAATATTAGAATATCTTGTTACAATTTACAACTAAAATATAAAAGTTCCAATTGTAAAAGAATTTACCATAATTTTGGTATTGAAAAACAGGCGGTATGGTTTACTTTTTGATTTTTGTTCCTCATAATTTAGAACAGCAGCCCAAGAATCAATCACACGATGATGTATAACATGTTCAGGCCGCATGCTCTCAAAATCCTGTTTATGCATAATCTCTCCCATATTTGTTTCAAAAAGTACCTCCCTTAATTTTAAACATGAACAAAAAATATGTCATCAACATTAGAATAAATATACACATGTATTATACCAAGAGTTAGTGACTTACATTCTATTTTTATCTTGTGCACATCTTATTAGAACCTGAATCAAAAGAACATTATGCAAATCGATTCTATCAAATAACTTCACAACTTTATCCATATATGGTGATTTGTAAGAACTTATATCATTCTCCCATGTGTCACCATTTTGAGATTCAACCCTTTCATGTGATCCCTTTTTTTTGTTTTCATTGTTTTGATTATCAACACTTGAAAAAATAGGATCTGAAAATAACTTAATGAACTTCACTTTCAATTCATTTGTTATATTGACATCTGGGAACTTTGATATACAATCAAAAACAATTCCATACATGTCCTCCTTTCTTGATGAAACTTTATTGAACATCTTATCAAAGTTATCTTTATACTCCTAAAAAATAATAAAACAATAGAATTATGAGCATGTAATATTTTATCATCTCAGAATATCTAGAATATTTACTATGAACCATAAGCATGTGATATAAGAATATCCAGATTTTTATAAAATCATAGTTTAACCTAATATAAAAAGAAACGATATTTTATATTTTAGTTAAAGTTACCTCAACAGTGTCATAAAGATTGTCTTTCAATGGATTTTCAGAATAAATAATATTAGAAAAAAGATAATAACATCATAAAAATAGAATTCAAATTAACACTTCAGAATATTCAGTTAGAATAACATGTATATGAATATGTCTACTATGTTTTAGAATTCAATGAATGTTGAGACGTCAATAGAATTAATAACAGAAGTCAAAGTCAAACAACAACTTTGACGACTTTAGAAAATCTAGCAAAATTGTATACTTACAGTAAATACACTTTAGTTGTTGTATGTAATAGAAAAACACTTACATTTATTTCAAAATTCTATTCTAATTAATTGTAATACTTACACTAGGTATAAGTCAACTGTTTCTAAAAATCTCTGAAACCAGCCATTTTTGAAACAGGGGTAAAATCATCAATAGTTTGCATAAGGGCGAACACGATAAAATTGATTATATGGAAACTTTCTTCCAAACTTTAAATTATCATGACTTAAGTACCTAATCGCTTAATTAAGTCCAAACTGTTAGTGATTAGGGTTAGGCAAAAACCCATTAGGGTTTAACTAACATGTTATTAGTCAACACAAAATCTCGAATTAAAACGAACAATGTAAAATGCTTCTGCTAACTCTAATTGTATATGCATAATCAATAATAAAAAATATGAATTTTACCTATATATGACATTCTTGCTATTAGAATAACATTAATACACAAGATATTATAGTACAAATACAATAATTGATGATATATCTTTTTTTTTTCTTTGGCTTTTGCTGTTGTATCGGCTGATTCATCAATAAGCTTCAATGATTTTCTACTTTGAATTAGTCGTTCGGCTATTGAAGTGTTTTCATGAGTTTTATCCATATACAACCTTCTTGCTGTTTATTGTCGTTTTCATAATCAAATTAGAAAATAATAATTGAATTATCATATCCAAATATCTAGAGTAACATTTAAAAATATTCTATTAGAATAAGATTAATAGAACATAGAAAAACATTAATAGAATATAGAATATTTTATTGTAATACATAGAATAACATAAACAAATAAGATAAATATTTTATTAGAATACATAGAATACAAAATATATCATTTATTCTTTTATATTCTATTATAATACATAGAATAGTTTATTAAAGTATATAGAATAACAGAAACAAATTAGATTAATAATTAAAAATATTTTGTTAGAATAAAATTAATTGAATATAGAAAAACAATAATAGAATATATAATATTTTATTATAATACATAGAATAACAGAAATAATTAGATAAATATTTTATTAGAATAGAATAACTGATGATGTACCTTTTTTTTTGTTTTTCTTTTGATGTTGTAATTGTTAATTGATTGATCGACTTCGATGATTTTCTTTTTTGAATCAATTGTTTGCCTCTTGAAGTTTCAACTTCACTATTTCTATCCAGTGTCATCATTTTTATTTTTGATTTTGTCATTCTTGTTATAATATTAGTTGCATGAAAATAATTAATGTTAAATACACTTTAACTGGAATCTGTAATTGAAAAACACTTACATTTATTTCAAAATTATATTCTAACTCATCATAATACCTACACACAAAGAAAACAGCATATAAAGATACACATAATAAATTTAAAGAAAATTTTCCAATATGCCCCTACACTGTTTCTTTATGAGATTAAAATTACTCGAATTTTCTATAAACACAGTTACATACATACACATTAAAAACATAAGCAAATTGATGAATATGTCCCTGTACATAATATTTTTTCCATCCACTTACCCGAGTGATGCTTGACTTAACCATGCATAAAGTTTATACAATGATTAAAGTTTTGTGTAAAAGAATAGTTAGAAGTTGAATCACATAGTAAGATGTCAAAAGTGAAATGATAACTCTCTAGTTTATAAGAAAATGCAGAAAACACGTATAATAACTTGATTGTTAATTACACAATTTTGTTTTTGTTTATGTGATGAAATCTATACTAATTCAGATCAAGTTCTGAATTATTAGAGGATATAATATGCAATTGTTTAATGGAAAAACTTTATTATTCTTATTCAGACCAAGACCACCAGGACCAATACCATCAGAAAGTTTATTTTCATATCTGCCTTAAAATCACTTGTGTCTATTTCCTTTTTCACATACACACAAAATCTCAAAAGTAATAAATAAATGTGTTTGGTTGGAATCAAAACCAAATGCCCCTGCAAATAGATGAAAGGCTAAAGCTTTATTTATCATTAATCTAAAGAATCCCACATAAGAATGTATTAAATGTAAATATAAGTAGGGTCATATTTTTGTTATAAATACATACTCAAACAACACAAAAACGCTCATATTCTCAGTTGTGAAGCCTTTGTCTCATTGTCTGTGCTGAGTATTTCACTAAGAAACAAGAGTCCGATGCCCTAATTATTAGTATGTAGATATGTAGACTGGAGGAACAATAGAAGGTCAATTCTCGAAGCTATATCGTCATTTTCAAATGGACTCATGGATATAAAATGATAATTAACAGAACTATTGAAATACCTGGAATTTCTTGAGAAGTTCTGGTAATAATGGCATTTAGGTGATCTGATGGTGTAGATTCTGAAGCACGTGTTTATGTAGCCATTTTCGTTGATAAGAAATACTCGATAAGAATAGAATTAAGTAAGTTTAGGGTTTTATCGATGTTATCAAGTGAAAATCGGATTCACAACATCGAAAAATGAAATTGATAAAGGGAGAAATCAAAGATGATGAGTTCAAGAGCACAACAAGTTAGGGTTTTGATGGAGTGTTTAAAACCGAAAATGATAAGAAGTTTTGGAAGAGGGTTTTGAGAATACAGATGAAGAAATTGAGTTTTTTTATTTTAATGTTCTTCCATCGTGTATAAGTAGTAATCTCAAAGTTATTACATTTTTCCCTTCTTCGTCCCTGGAAAATAAGTCCTAGTATTTTTAGTCCCTTTTAATATAAAAACTTACACTTTGGTTCAAATATCATTTTAATTGTAAAATAAAATTACTTAATTACAAATATTCTAAAACAAATATTTTCATTTATTCTAAAATTTTACTTCTACTAATAGAGACAAAGTATTTTTTTTCTAAAGTATGATGTCCTAAAATATACTAAAATTTTATTATCGTAATTTTTTATTATTGTAACATGATACTAAATCTAATTTCATTTATTCTTTTTATTAAAATATTGTAAAACAAAATTACATATTATATTAAAACGTTTTATTATTAAGTATTTTAATGAAACCAGAATAATTAGAATAATTTACATAAAACAAATTAGAATAAGCTTAATATAATATTAACAATATGTGTTTTAATCATTTATCATTTTACCAAATAATTTTTTAATCAAATAAATAGGCATCATCAAACAAAAAGTTTAAACACTATATATCATTTACTATTAAGTAATAAATATTTTATCAAGATACCAACTAACTGGTTTAAGCATATCATTTACCAAAATATCAATGGTTTAAGCATATCCTCAAACATAAGCATTTGAAAAAAATAGAAAATAAATTGTCTGTATTTAATAAGCCAATATAAGAAATGTTCAAACTTTCTTCATTTCGAGATTGTCTCTTGCTTCACTGCCTTCTTTCACCAACATACACCTAGTTTTCTTATCAAGTTTGAAAATTCCAATGCTTCTGCAACATTCAATTTTCTCTGCTTGTTGATTTGATGGTTTGCTAGCTTAGCAACATAAAATGTACGCAACTTTGCAATCTTCTTAGATGTCCTAACACTTTCTTCTCCCAGTTCCACATCCCATTTTTCTTCTTTCTCACCCATGTACTTTTACATATGCCTCATCAAAATAATACCATCATCATTTGTCTTAATTTTTGTTTGCGATGTCATTTTCATTTTCTTTGGCTTCATAGATTTAAACAAAGAAACCTTATCCCGCCGATTGTTGTCCAAAAACTTTGAAAAGTACATTTGCTGCAATGCATATTAATAAAATACAATTATTTTTCTAAAATGATAATTATATTAAGTAAATAAATTTTATAAGAATATAAATATTATATTTTATATTCTAATCAAAATTTATTTACTAATAGAGAGTGGTTTTTTAAAATAAACAATTATGATTAAAATAATTTTTTTAGATTTATGCAAGAAACATTTACCACAAGTTTAGGAATCTCTCCATAGACATCTTCTACTTTTTTGGTGTATCTTATGTTATCAATGATTATATGTTCTGGATTTGTAAGGTTGAAAAGAAGACAATAAAAATGACCACGGTTGTGTATTGGAAAAAACACATGTAGTTCAAACATAAATACAAATGAATTTTTATAAATTTTAATATGAATATGTTATATTGTAATCAAAAATATATACCAGATTAATAGAATTGAAATCCACTTTTCTTTTGATGTCATATAAGTAATTGTTTAGAGCCTCATCAAAAAGTCGGAATCTTTCAACAAAAGGTATTGAAGAATCCAATAATGTTTCTGTCTATACATATAGAACAATAGAAATATTATAACACATTGTTATAAATTATAATTAGAATATAGAAAATAAATTTAAAAATTAAGTACCATAATTTGAGTGTTGAAGAAGACATGTGGTGGTGATTTTTTGTTTCTCAGGTTTTCTTCTTCAAAATTAAGAACAACAGTCCAACAATCAATAACGAAAGGATGTATCTTATGATTTGGACGCATACCCTCAAAATGCACCCTATCCATTATGTCTCCAGACTCGGTTTCAAACCGCATTTCCCTTCAAACAAAAATATTGCATTGTAGTTAAAATATTCCAATAAGAATATTACACAATTATGAATTTACTTACATTGGATCTTTGTGTGCAACGCATCTAAACATTATTTCCGCCATTATCTCTTGCTCAGTACTAACTTTTTCATTTAAGTCAATTACCCTATTCACAAAAGGTGATCTAAAAATATCCGGATTAGTCACCTTCCTTTTCCTTCCTTCATTCACATTCTGACCCTTTTTCCCTTTCTCATATAAAATATGCTCTTCATTCCCTTCTAATTCTCCATCTTCATCATTACCCTCATAATTATCACCAGTTTCTGCATCGTTCATTAGTTGGGTTATTTGAAGATCAAAGGAAGGAAATTCTGAATTTTCAAATGTTAGCTTTTTGGGAACAGGAGATCTATTTATGATTGGCATTCTATCATTCTAACAGAATAAAATCGAAAAATATATTTACTAGTTTATGGTTGGCATTCTATTATTCTGACAGAATAAAATCGGATTTTTAAATTTTAATTAATTTAAAATATTCAGATTTTTAAAACTAAAGTGATTATATGATACATGTTATCCTAAAAATCCGAAAATTTCCTTTTTTTAATATAGGTTGATTGACTAAAATGCCCTTATGTTGAAATTTGTGTGATTATATGATACATGTTATCCTATTCTAATATCATAGACGATCAGATCATGACCTTTGATTCTATTCCATCCGGTGGTCCAGATCTATGCATTCTGACACACAATAGTTAGTAAAAACAAAATAACCTAAGTGTGTGTGTGTGTGTGTGTGTGTGTATATATATATATATAACCTAAGTGTGTGTGTGTGTGTGTATATATATATATACATATATAATATTCTAGTGCAATACAATCAATAACTTTATATGGTATTAGAGCAAAAACTTGCTTTAACAAGCCTCGGTCCTCCTCTTTAACTCTAATCTTGCAGCCCTACATGGCACCATTGAACATGATCATCCAACTCACAACCACCTGTCATTTATCAGTCAACCTTAGTGCCACAAACATCCTGGTGTGGCGCAAACAAGTTCAATAAACAGTTATTGTGTAACAGCCCAAAAACTTAGGTAAATTATTTTATTTAATAACTATAAATAATATCCATATTTGTTTCCCACAAATTCCATTGCGTAGTACATTGTTCAAAAGATCAGAGTATTCAAAACAACTAGTGCGGAATACTGAAGAGTGCACGCTGCACCATCAAGTCGGGCCCTTGCCCTTAGAGCTAGAAGTACCTGAAACACCCAATAAACTATAAACAAACGCCTAGTGAGTTTCCCAAAATACACAACACATACAATCACATAAAAATCATGCAATAGAAAGACATACATGAATTGCTATGGACTACATCCATGGTCTTTACTTGGAATGACATGGGCTCCCACATAGTCTGATAACCAAGTGCTATGGGATCCCCCATGGTCTTTACCTAGAATACCATGGGCTCCCCCATGGTCTCTACCTAGAATGCCATGGGCTCCCCCATGGTCTGATAACCAAGTTCCATGGGCTCCCCCATGGTCTTCACATAAAACAATCCATACCACAAAGCATACAATTGCATATCAACTAATTACTACATATTATGTAATGGGCCAACATTGGTGCCTTCGACCCATGGGTATGATGAGAAGACTCACCTCAGTCAGCTGAACACAATAGTTGTTCATGTAACCGCCCGAAACCTCACACTGAACAATAGTACAAATAACCCTAAATTAGAACTATAACTCAACCTAGTCAAAGAGTCCAAAACCTAAACCTAAACCTAAGTCCTTACACGGTGGCCCAAAAGTTCTTCCTTAACTAATGGGCCTAAGATCCAAGATAAAAACTATTAATGGGCCACATGGCCCAACCAAAACAACTATGGCCCAAAACAAAATAATCATACCACTAACTCAAAATGGAACCAGGCCCAAAACTAAATAAGGCCCAAAGAGCTTACAAGCCCACACGACGCCCAAACCCATATGGGGTGCGTATGCCTAACGTACCACTCCAATATGCTTAGCGTACAGAGCCACTTGGTTGTACGTGCAACGTACACAGTATTATGCCCGATGTACAAGTAGAATATGCACCATGACCATTAAGTGCTTAATACTTGGGATTTCAACATTAAACTTCAGATCTGAGTCCATTAAGATGTCCTAGGTAATAAAGTTGGGAACTTTATGACCTTACATGCCATATGGGTCCCCAATACTTCATTCTCCCCATTAAGACCTCAAACTCTTGCATGGTATCAAAACAACCTTCAAGATGGAACCTTTATTGTAACAACATAAATTTTCGACCAATTTTTTTTTTAAATTTCAAACACATCATTTCAATAAATAAACCATAAAGTGCCACAATGTCAATTCATCAAAACTCATGTCCAAAATAAAACTATATATAAAACTCCAGGATCCTCTAAATCATAAAACAATCTCCTGTGTGTGTGTGTACAATCCAGTCGGCACATTCCTGTGATTCTAAGAAGTACCTAAAACACATAACACATAGCATGGTAAGCACAAAGCTTAGTGAGTTCCCCAAAATACCATACACAGCTCGTTAGACACTTGAGGCCATAACTCAATAAGACCCTCCGGTCAATGTGTCTCAGTGAGACCCTCCGGTCCCAATTAGATAAGCTCAACATAATAATACTCGACATAAATCACAAAGAAATAAGGCAGGATATCATAATGCACATAATATATCTCAATTACACAAACTACCACTCATGGTAAAGTATAGAGAGAAGACTCACCTCGTAAGTAAGCTAAGTGAATGAATACTTCTTGCACACGAACCACCAAATGTAGCCTCCGCTTAATCATATAAGATAATTAAATCTAATTAACTCTTTAAATTACACATTTACTAAGTTATCTCTCTCTCTCTCTCTCTCTCTCTCTCTCTTGAAGTGGGAAAAAGACCATTTCACCCCTCCATGGTTTCCCAAAGACATGGTTAACCAAACCCTAAGTCAACAGAATTCGAACTCGAGTAAACAGTCCCTGTTGACCTTACTCATCGTGTGCACCTTTGGGACTTGACGAGTCTGATCACCATCCTCAGAATCACTCAAAAGTCCAGCTCAACTCACTAGGTTGACCTGTCAACTCATCAAGTTGTTGCACGACCAGAACCATCGGGACAACCCTATCCGAATCGTCGAGTTGGGTCCTTGACTCGGCAAGTCCATTTAGATTCTTATCTCATTCAGTCAATTCCAAGGCAGAGAACCTTCCCAAACTCTAGATCTACACTCCTAATGCTCATCTATCACGTAAAGTCACATGCTTTACGTTCATGCATAGAGTTTAGAGCTTAAAATGCCATAACATACCTCAAAAAGGGTTTTCACTCAATATCACTATTATGGTTGGATAAAGCAGACACTTTTGGACTCTAGGGACCTCACATGGTTCAGATCTGAAGTCCAACCCTCTCAATGAACATAAAACACTCAAGGTCCTCATATTTGGGTGGAGAAACCCTATATTCTCAAAATATTGAGATCTATTCAAAATAATGAGAAAGGTGCAAGCTTTATACCTTTTCGAGAAGCTCTGAGGTGAAACAACCTCGAATCTAGCAGAACCTTCTTCTCCCTTGGCTTGTAACTCTTCTGTTCTCTTTATAAGATGCACCAAACACTCAAAACTAGCTAAACACTCTTTCTCTAAGCTCAATGGCTGTTTAGGATTTTCTCTCAGGGAAGTGTAGCCGCAAATGAGGATACAAGTGCCTTTAAATAGGCCGCAAACCTAGGGATTTAGGGTTTCTCATCCTAACACCTACTCGGCGAGTCGACTCTCGGACTCGTCGAGTAGGTCATTAATCCCACGTGGCACATCGCGACTCTACTCGACGAGTTGGAGCACCGACTCGTCGAGTAGCTCAAAAGATAAACAAATAAATAAATAACAAATAATATACTTGGAAGTCCGAATGTTACAATTCTCCCCCACTAGAATCAGAGTTCGCCCTCAAAGTCATGATCTGAAAATAACTCCGGATTCTACTCTCGCATATCGGACTCCGGCTCCTACGTCAACTCGGACCCTCTCTGATGTTGCCACTGAACCTAAACTAGGGGTAACTCTTTACTCTTCATACCCTTCACCTTTCGATCCATGATCACAATCAGTCTCTCTATGTAATTCAGGCTCACATCCTCCTGAATGTCCTCTAGTGGTACCAATGTCGTCTCATCGGCTTCACACTTCCTCAACTGATGCGAGCCTAAATTACATCCTTAAAGGATATGCTACCCTAGCCACTTTGACTCAACTCCACATGTAGCTCCAAATGATACGCTACCGTACCCACTCTGGCGGTCACCCTGAAAGGACCAATGTATCGGGGCCCCAACTTTCCCTGTTTCCTGAATCGGATCACCCCTTTCCAAGGGGATACCTTTAGAAGTACAAAATTTCCGACCTGGAACTCCAGCTCGTATCGTCACCTATCTGAATAACTCTTCTGGCAACTCCGGGCCATCAGTAACCTCTATCTGACCTACTGAATATGCTCAGTCATCTTCAGCACTATCTCAATGCCACCCATCACTCGTTGCCCCACCTCTCCCCAACAAATGGGAGTTCGATACTTTCTCCCATAAAGAAGCTCAAAGGGGGCATACCAATACTCGAATGATAGTTGTTGTAAGAAAACTCAGCCAAGGGCAAATAAGTGTCCCAACTTCCTCTGAAATCCATAACACATGCATGAAGCATGTCCTCATGCGTCTGAATCGTCTGCTCACTCTACCAGTCTGTTTGTGGATGGTACGCGGTACTGAAATGTAACCGGGTAACCAACTCCTCATCAAAACTTCTTCCAGAATCTGGAAGTAAAATGCACGTCTCGATCTGACACTATTGAGGTTGGCACTCCATACCGAGCTACCACCTCGAGTACATAAATCTCGGCCAATCTCTCTGGAAAATAGCTTTCACTGATGAGGAGGGAGTGAGCGCTCTTCGTCAGCCGGTCCACAATTACCCAAATTGCGTCAACTCCACGTGCAGTCCTCGGCAACTTGGTGATTAAGTCCATGGAAATTTGTTCCCATTTCCATTGTGGAATCTACAGTGGATGAAATGGATCATGAGGACGCTGGTGCTCGGCCTTAAACTGACGACAAGTCAAGCACCTCTCGACTACTCAAGCCATGTCCCTCTTCATATAGGGCCACCAATAATCTCTCTTCAGGTCCAAGTACATCTTAGTGGCTCCTGGATGGATCGAGAATCTCAATCTATGCGCTTCCTCCATCAGAATATGGCGAGATACGCCAGTATAGGGCACCCAAATCCGCCCTCGAAAAGTCATAAGCCCTCGACTATCTGATAAAAACCCGGACACCTGCCCAATCACCC